CACACACATGCACATACCCCATGGCACTGCACAAATCATTTTGGGTTGATAAAAGCCAGTCTGTTAGGCAGAGTAGAACAAACTGCTAAATTCTAACACAATTACGTAATTTCACATTTTCAAAGTAGTAGACACTTTTTAGAAAATAAAACAGATTGTATATGGAGATAAAGTGGGACTTTTTATGAAGAAATTAATCTGGGAATGGCAGTTGCAGAAAACTTATTAACTAGAGTTGTTCAGTTTCCATTGAAGAGTTTTAATAGTTGAGAAATGCAGCCGCCAATAGATGTAAAGGAAGACACACAGAGAAGAGAAGAAAGGGGCACGGAGAGATAGATAAATAGATAGAGAGAGGGAGAAAGAAATAAAGAGAAAAAGAGAGAGAGGGGAGAGACAGAGAGACAGAGACAGAGACAGAGACAGAGAGACAGAGAGAGAGAGAGACAGAGAGAGAGAGAGAGAGAGAGAGAGAGAGAGAGAGAGAGAGAGAGAGAGAACAACACGATGAGAATAGACTTGGGGGTGTTAGGTAGATTTCTAAGAAATGGGTTAAAACTGAAAAATTACGTAGGATTACTGACTAAATAAGCTATTCCCCTTTCCTGAACGCATGGAGAAAAAAGATCTCTACTCCCAACCACAAAAGCCACTCATAATCAAGTGCGACAGAGCCGGGTTTCATTCTCCTGTTCCTCCTTCCATCCTTAGCTTGAGCTCCCACCCAGTCAGCTGGGGGCTTTCCTTCCGACAGCGCCGTGTGGAGTATGTCCAGTGGGAGGGTCAGCCGTCTTGTGCCTGTCACTGGCATTTCCAAATACTGACCCCCCCTCAGACCCCCCGTCACGTGGGAACGCGAGAATCTCTCACATTCGGAGCTCGCGCCATGTCTGTTAAACTGTCCTAAGAATGTGATATGAAAAAAAACCCAACGAAGTGTTCTCTTGTGGGTGGTTTTTCTCTTTTGTTAACGTTAGGGTGTTAATTAATAGACAGGAAAATAGGAGTGGACAAAAAAAGAAAACATTTGCATTTTTCCTCAATCGCTTTGCCTATTCAAAAGCTGCTGGGAGTTTGCCATTTTGCATGATAAATGAGCGTTTTTGAAATTTGAATCTTTTGGTTTGTAAACAAGATATCAGCGCGTTTTTTTTATACAGTACGCACATTTAGATAGACCGACAAAGAGACGGACAGGTAGCATAAGCAAAACAGCCAGAATGGCAACTCTCCTTGGCGAGCATGTACACGCAGACTCAAACAAACATACACACACACACACACACATACACACACACACACACACACACACACACACACACACACACACACACACACACACACACACACACACACACACACACACACACATACACACATCTTTCTCTCTCGCTCTCTCTCGCTCTCTCTCTCTCCCTCTCTCTCTGTCTGTCTCTTTCTCTCTCTGTCTCTCTCTCTCTTTCTCTCTCTCTCTCTCTCTCTCTCTTTCTCTCTCTCTCAATAACATTCTCAACAACAAAACACCTTTGGTTAAGTGCAGAGCAGAGAAAAAAAGACTCCGTTACAAAACAAAAAGAAAGACGTAACAGTTTGCCATAAACCATCAAAAGTCTCTAAAAACGTCCTGTTTTAATGTCAGCATTCTAATGAAAGTATCGTGTTCCTTGCCAGTTCAGAGACCTTACTGTGTATTATTTAACTTCGTGACAATTATTGGTATGCCACCTTGTGACAATTACTATCCCGTCGCTGATTGTCTACCCCAGTTTACTTGGTTAGTCGATTTGGGAAGCATTCCATTAGTATTTGTCATGAGATTGCATTACCACCCCTGTGACCTAGTTGGGTGTGATTTGACCTGAGTTATTTGAGTCAAACGAGTATGTTATGTCGTCCTTTGCATAAAATAGCAATTTGATTTTTTTTTTCATAAGCCAACAGACCAGAGCAGTTCGCGGAAGTTTGTCCGGTGTTCGTGGTTAGCATAACAAAAGACATGAAACTATAATAACTATAATATATAAGAAAACGAGATATCTGAAGACGTCAATAGAGTACCACGCAGACCGACAATGAATTTTTTTTTTAAGATGTAGACCTAGCTTTAAAATACAGATAGCCAGATAAGCTTGCAAAAAAGTGTTCCTGCTAAAAGGGAGTAAACCAGAGAGTTAGACAGACAGACAGACAGACAGACAGACAGACAGACAGACAGACAGACAGACAGACGGACGGACAGACGGACAGACAGACAAACAGACAGACTAATACCAAATGTTGGATAAGATTAACATGACATGGTGGGAATGCTGAACCGATAAGAAACGGCCATCCTTTTTAGAGACATCGATGTTTGAGAACAAATAGCAGAAAGGATAGAAATAAATGTAAAATCGAAAAGACGAGAAGCAATTACTACACCCACCCCAACGAAAAGATTTCTTTCCGATGTCTCGTCAATTTTTTTCCACGGCACCAGCACCACTTAAAAGCTATTTCAAAGACCTGCCTGTGAAGGGTCAAGCTAATACATCTGCCCTGGGCTCCCATCCAGACTCGCTTTTTGCCCTGTGACTCGACCACAAACATCCCTGCTTAGTCTGTAATCAGTCCAAGGTGTCACAAGCATAGACCAGCGATCCGCCGTTAATGGTCTTCAAAATTGAAAGGCTTCAGTATTCACGCCAGAGATTAACTGGTTTCATGAAAGAGTCACCTCTCTTCGACGTGACGCGGGACATTTCACGACTAGACCGGAGGAACAGGAAGGGGTGGCCTCCCTGAGTCCGGTCGTTTAACTTCTCTCTATTAAAGCCTGGGCAAAGGTCGTTCCGAATTTAATTAGTGAGTCGACTGCCAAACCGCACATTGCCTTCGGTATATCGTTTTTCTACGGCGAAGAAAGAAGGCAGCCTGGGTTGACTTGTACATTTTGTATCATGATACTTTTAATATTGTCCACATTGTGTCTTACAGATATTCGGGGGAAGAGGGGGGTGCTTATATATTATTCTGATTCCCACTCATTTTGTTTTGATTATTTGTTAATCCATTCATTCCTTGTTTGTTCGTTTTGTCATTCATTCATTCATTCATTCATTCATTGGAACTAACAAGCCGACATTAACCACAGTGCTGAATTCATCGTCTGTCATCACTTCCTAGGTTGGTGTCCGAATTTATTATGCTGATGCTTTCTTTGTAATAGTTTTACCCATAGTGGTGCATGTTTGTTTTTTCTTTTTTTTATTATGAATCAGCAGTTCATGCACTCTGTGGAAACTCCTCTCTCTCTCTCTCTCTCTCTCTCTCTCTCTCTCTCTCTCTCTCTCTCTCTCTCTCTCTCTCTCTCTCTCTCTCTCTCTCTCTCTCTCTCTCTCTCTCTCTCTCTCTCTCTCTCCTTCTCGCTTTCTCTCTCTCTCTCTCTCTCTCTCTCTCTCTCTTGGCAATACACCATGTATACCCCTGGCAGAGTGAGTCTTGTCTAAACAATCATGATAGATTTGTAATAATATACCTGAAAGACTCCTCCGTCCTTTTCTGTTTCAGACGCCTGGAGGAGAACCACATCACACAGCTCCCGTCCCGAGCGTTTGCCGATCTCAGTAACCTTAAGAGAATGTAAGTTCAGAGTACTGCGATATGTCCTGTACTTTGATAAGGCATTGTAGATTGACTGGAGTTTTTGTGCAGCTTAATTGGCAGGCGGGGGGGGGGTGGAAGGGAGGTGTTAGAATCCGTGCATTTCTTGTATATAAAGGAGGTACCCAGTTCATAATGATTACAATTCTGAGGCCAAATTATTTGGTGAGCGAAACAAAGAGCATCTACGAAATGAAAGAAATATAATATTAAGCGCTATGTGATAGAGAGCATTTCAGAGGCAAAATTTTTAGACACCTTAAAATGGGATGGGCATTGAAATCGGGTGAAAGTTCATGGGTGTTTCAATTGTCTTAAAATTGTGTTTTCAAAAGGTCTCTATGACTGGCATCCCTTATTGTATAGTTACGATCGCCACCCATGCGTAGTTTTATTTTCTACCATTAATTTTCTTTTTTGTTTGTTTTTATTCCCAGAGATCTCGGAAAGAACCAAATCTCTTATATCGCTCCAGATGCCTTTTCAGGTCTCTACTCACTCAATTCTTTGTAAGTATGAGCTCGAATGCGACAATAGGCAACTGACAGGTTTCAGCATCGCCAACTTTTGAATTACATTCATTAACCTCTTTTGTCTTTGATGATAAGTGGAAATAATAAATAATTTTGTCTTCTGTCTTTCTCAAGAAATGTATGTTTCTTGTTCGCCTTTCATTTACCTAGTGTCAGAATTCATGTTTATTATTACTGCAAAGGTAACATTGCTGTTGACATTATCTCCCTGCTTTTGTTCCGTTTATCTTTGCCACTGTCTCCCTTGTGTCTCGACGTCTACAACATGTGCTGCTGAGTTGTCGCCCCGACTCTGCCCTTCAGTGGCTATGGCTATTGTTATGTTGCTCCTGTCAGATTCAACACGCTTACTCATTACTTTACAGTTTAGACACCCCTAAACTCTACTGTCAAACTTCGCTCGTTTTCTTTCCGAGAAATGTTCCATTACCAGCTGACAATGTCGTCATCATAATTTGTGCCAATAAAGGCAACACTATCATATAGTTTTAAAACCGTGTTTAACGTCCTCTTTCAAAGGAGTCTACATTACCTTTGGTTACCAATAAAATGCAAAATGTTTCATGCTTCATGATTTCACAATACTAGTGTAAATTGGTGTTGTTTTTACATAATAATACTTTTAGATATGTGGTCACTTGGGAATATCCGTGAGCTGGACACGTTAAACCGAATTCCACATGATCAACGTGGTGGCGACCGACATGTGCAAGTGTATCGGTTGAATTCTGCAGTTGTTTAGGCTCCTTATGTCGATGTACTCACACTATACCACAAACCATAATATAAATAAGGAATAATTACAATTATTTCTCTCTCTCTCTCTCTCTCTCTCTCTCTCTCCTTCTCTCTCTTTCTCTCCCTTTCTCTCTTTCGATCTTTTGCTGTCTCTTCATCTACTCTCCTCAACACCTCTTGGTGTGTTGTACGAATAGTCAAATATTTTGTGCATCCGGTCTGATAATCACTATTATGCCTTCGTAACTGAACCCTTTTTAGATATTTCTTCAAGACTAGGGTATTAGATCAAAACCACAGCTCCTTCACCGAGCGTTGAACACGGAGTCTTAAGTTTTTCCCACGTATACTGGTACGCTAATACATTTACATACAAATCACAAGTCTCGTAGATCCGAAGAGCTTACCAGCGTAAGGATAGATCATGGCGGGGTTCCACAGTATGCCTAAAGTGGTGCGAGATAATTTTTCTTTTCCGCTTGAAGTAAGGCAATCCTTACTAAGAAAGTCGTTTTCATATTTCTGCTTCACTCAAGCCCAGTGGCGGTGGGTGGACCAAAATTTGGGTGGGGCTTGGTTGCTTCCACCTCTTTACCACCAAATAATAAGCAATACGAACTGAACAGTGATGGTTTTTCTATACTCACGGTAGGCCACGGCATTTTGAGAACCATTCAAACGAGAAGAGTCACCTTTGTCGTCCATCTCTTTGTTCCAAGTATATTCTTCTTCATGGTGGGGACGAAGCCGTTTCCCCTCCAAATTTCTTCTAATTTCATCTGGTTCGACGTGAATACTGTTAAATTTCAGCGACACAAACATACACAAACAGCACTTCAAACATATTCCGTCTATGTACTGGATAAGGTTGTGTAGTCACGCGCGTGAGCCCTCGGTACAGCGTTATTTTTTTCTCATCTTCAACCTTTTAACAAGAAGAGTTTCATTAAAGACTGGCGTGGGAACGGGCTGATTCTTTGCTGATCCCTAACGACATTAGATGGGCTGTTAGGTTACTATAGTTGTAAGCGGTGACAGCAATGGTTGGATAAACGGGCAAGCCGTCAAGCTGATCACTGTGTGTTCATTGCGTGCGACCATAACGGTTTCAACTGCTTATTTCGTTATTTAAGAAACGTTAATTAACCAAGGGATAGAGTTGAGGTGGAACAGTCCCCAAGTAAGAGCGAATTTCGACTGGTTCCGGTAAGAATTAAACAAAGAGGAGTTCTGTATACTACCGTTCTAAGCTTTGTTTTATTGCCTTTTTCTTGAGATGAACCCCTGCCTTGCCTCTCGGACTACCTGAAAATCAGGAGTCTCTCTAGTCAAATAACAAGGTGCGCTTAGTTTCTCTTTGATTCTGACTAACAAGAATTGATTCTCTCCACAGGGTGCTCTACGGTAATAAAATCAAAGACCTCCCCCCTGGCGTGTTCACGGGCCTGTCTTCTCTTCAGCTACTGTGAGTACTCGCACACCCATCTCGTTCCGGGTAGTTAGAGGAGATGAACAGGGTTATGTCTTAGTGGATACAGCAGGGATCAGAGAACCGGTCCGGAAAATGGGACAAGGGAACGTGTTACTTTTTTGTATTTCTAAACATCTCTCGATCTCTCCCTACCTCCCCCCTCCCCCCCCTCTCTCTCTCTCTCTCTCTCTCTCTCTCTCTCACACACACACACACACACACACACACACACACACACACACACACACACACACACACACGCACACCACACACACACACACACACGCATTCTCTCTCCCCCCCCCTTCTCTCTCTATCTCTCTCTCTATCTCTCTCTTTCGGTGTGTTTGTGTGCGTGTGTGTATGTGTATGTGTGCGTGTGTGTGTGTGTGTGTGTGTGTGTGTGTGTGTGTGTGTGTGTTTTCAAAGAGAGACAGAGAGAGACAGAGAGAGACAGAGAGAGACAGAGAGAGACAGAGAGAGAGAGAGAGAGAGAGAGAGAGAGAGAGACAGAGAGAGAGACAGGGAGAGAGAATGGGGGGATTGTATGATATATCTGTTGATGTTCTTTGTTCATGTAACTTTTTGATGAGATTGAAACATTGCAAAGGGTCAAATTGATATGATATGCTGTTTTACAATTTATGGTGATGGTGTTATTGTTTTTTTATTCCATGTCCCAGGTTGTTGAATGCAAACAAAATCAACTGTGTTCGAGTGGATGTCTTCAAGGACTTGGAAAACCTTAATCTTTTGTAAGTACCTTGTGTGGACACTAACCAGCCACACAAAAATAAAACTTGTTTTGGCGGTTTAAAAAACGAAATTTTTATAGCAGTGCCTATCAACCCTTTATATTCAGCACCCATTTTTAATACCGGTACCTTTAAAAGGCTAAAAATTTCGTACAGCCCTTCTCCGCGTATTTCCAAGCGGGGCAGTAGATACAACTCCAAGTGATCCCCACTACCCACCAAAATTACAAAATAGCCTCCTTGTGGGTGATATCAGGTTGGCAAGCACTGTTTCAAACGTTCTGTGAGTTCTATTATGTACTCAACACGAACGAGTTTGTTTTTTTTGGGGGGAAGCAGACAAGAAATTTTAACGTTCATAAAAGGAGCAGTTGTATCGGTGTTCACAAAAGCAGTGACACCTGTGACAGTAAAAGAATAAAACTACAGATCTTAGTGAGAAGGTCTTGTTGCTTTAGTTTTTTTTATGTTTGTTTGTTTTTTCCTTGCTTTGTTTTGTTTGTTTGTTTGCTTGTTGTTTTTTTTGTTTGTTTGTTTGTTTGTTTTTATAGGAGAGACTCAATGCAAAATGCCATCATTATACCAACACTCATTAAGCATTATTTCTTCAGGCAGAATGGGAAGCGACAAGTTTTCTTCGTTTTGTCGTGCTCCTAAAAACCATTACAATTTCCTTGCGTTTTTAAAATGAAAAATACATTTCAAATAGTCATATTTGATATATCACAATTTAAAATTGATGTTATATTTTTACCTGCCCTGTTAGCAAGAAAGGGAACTTTTCGCAACTTCATCGCCAACTGCCCTTATGAACGAACACTAGATCTATGTAGGCCTATATTTCTATTTGGTACAGCTGGGCTACAAAAATAACAGCTACTTCACGTTCTTATCTTGAATTGGGCGCTAAGGTTACTTGATGGTGATCTCCCCCGGTCCGGCAGGCGAAGAGTTAAGTGGCTTTGGAACCCCTTCGTTCTTTGGGGGCTGGAGGCTTGGAGTGGCCTCCCATCCAGGCTTTGGTGCAACTTCGAACACCAGGCGAAACAGATCCCCTCAGAATTACGAGAATGTCAAAAAAGCTCGGTTCCTCTCAAGTGGCTTCGAGTGGCTGTTTAGGGGGGTTAGCCGGTAACTGAACGGTGTGAGGAAACGTAGAAATCGTTGAAGTAGAAGAAAGGCTTGTTTGTGACACCGCCTGAATCGCGTGGGACTAGGGATTCTGCGCTTGAATTGAAGGCTTATTAATTTTTAGGGGGATAAGCCATGCTCAACTCTTATTGGTGCGGACGCCAAAATAAAGTTAATGGCTCCAATTTGTCTTCACGGTTGTATTCATGTTTATGTGTTCATTGCACTCTGCACTGACCTTTGGAAAGTATTTTCTTGTATATAGTGGTAGTTGAGATTTACCCTTGGTGTTTTGTATTATGAGTACCGTTGTCTGCTTTTAGTCTTCTTTTTGTCATCTAAGTAAAGTCTCTGAATCTGAACATTGGGTTGTGTTCTTTTTGTGTCTGTATATTTCTGTTGCTTCTGTTGTCACTTTTTATTCTTGTTGTATACTGTGGTTGTTGTGTGCGCAAGTGTGTGTGTGTAGGGGGGGGTGTTTGTTGGGGGGGGGGGGGGGGGGGTTGGGGGGGGGGGTGCTGTTAGTTACCCGTTAAGTTCTCTCCCTGGAAAATTGACAATGAGTTGTGTTTATTCATCATAGGTCAAATTTGTAGATCTCGTTAACTGATTTGTTAGTTACTTGCATGATTGTTTGTGTGGCTGAGTATCCATTGCCTTACAATGGTCATTCTTCGTCATGTCATTGTGTTAAACATGTTAACAAGTCCATGCAGTCGATCATTCTTGTTTTCCATTTTGCCTCTTCAGATCCTTGTATGACAACAACATACAGTCATTAGCGAACGGAACGTTTGATCCACTGGCAAACATCCAGACAATGTAAGTTTTATGTTACCTCAGCACCGCCTTCTGTAATCCCCAATGCATGGAATAATTAACTGCAAATGAGTTCAGACGAGAGATAACAACGTCCAGCACTTTGAGCTGTAGAAAGCCTTCACTTTTGAGATACTTAAACTGGTTAATCAATCGATTTATGGTGGTCTGTGATTCATGAGTTGTTTTTACTCTTTGCCGTTCAGAAAGTATTTACAATATACTCTCGGCTGTACTAAAACTTCAACCAACTGATGCTCTTTGTAGTTTTAACTATGAGGAATAAATGACAAAAGGTGGTACGTTTATTTGTTTTTTTTCGTATGGTATCTGTATGAGTACAGAGGTGAAATTTCTGAACATCTGATAAGAATTTTGACAAATTTCAACCCCCGGCATCTGTGTTGTGGACGTTAAGCACTTGGCTGTCCCACGCCAAAGTCCTGAGTACCATTCCCGTGTGGGGAAACTTTTTTAATCTAGTATCTCGATCTTTCTGTTGGGACGTTGTACCCGTTCATCCCAAGTGACAGAGTCAAAGCCCACCTCCTAAATGATCTTAGTTGCACAGATGGGGGCTTAAAAAACACGTACATAAAAAACGAACCGAAATTCAAGACTAATACAGATACTGTGGGAAACTTGATACCTTTTTCCTACAGACGCCTGTGCAAACATGCCTGCTCTTTGGCCAATTGTCACACACGAACAGTGTTTGTCCCCTTCGAAGATCAATTCAGACACACAAGATACCTAGGAATGTGACTGAGATGATATACACCAACTGGTATCTTTTTTGACCGGCGTGTATGGCCTTGGTCTGAATCCGAAACGGTTCATATCTTAACGTATATTGTTGTTTGGGAGTTGTTAATCGCTCTCTGCCTTCTTGGCTCTGTTCAATGAGAGATGGACGTTAGAAATAGATTATGGGTTTAATATTGTATTTGGTCCTACGATGATAAAGAAAGAAGAGAGGGGTTGAAGCCACATCACATCATAAGAATACGAATATCGCTCTCGGAGCAGCGTAAGCTTCATCATCTAACATAAAACATAAAATGACAGTATATTAACAGCAACATTTACGCGACAATTTCGCACACGTTCCCGTACCTGCGTGAACAACAAGGAAAAGAAAACGCTCTCGAATGTAATTGGTGTCAAGAGCTGGTGCCTCTGGCTGGAATATGATCTTTATTGCCGAAAAACGCAACTCTGCAACATCGGCGGCTGTGGTGGCTTTATCTGTCATATCATGCGCACTTAACGTGAAAGAAGAAAATTAAATTTGCGACGCTTCGTTACTTGGGTCCTGCAAGCTCTTCTCCAATAAACTTTGTCGCTTGGCGGCCTGTCTTAGGAGAGGGGTGGGACAGAGAAAGGAATGTTCTTTTTTATGGTTTTACGGGCGGATCTTCTTTTCGTACACGTGACTTGCCTGCTCTCGGTAAGTTTTTTCAGATTTACGATCCTCGCTGTTCATTTTAACTTAAAAGCATGGCGGGTAGGTTCATCAGCCCAGCTTATACCGGTGGGGTTAGCAGTAGTCAGCGTTAACAACAAATTACACACTTTATCTTGGGACACCAAACAGCATTTTGATTAACTCATATCATTATTATTTCTGTGCAGGATTTTGTTTTAGTGGGCCCCTACTGATTTATCCGTACAAAGGCAAGCATCGTGCATAGAAATAAATGTGTGTGTGTGTGTGTCTGTGTGTGTGTGTGTCTGTGTGTGTGTGTGTCTGTGTGTGTGTGTGTGTGTGTGTGTGTGTGTGTGTGTGTGTTCGTGCGTGCGTGCATGGGTATGTGTGTCGGAGTGATACAATAGGGGGGGGGGGGGAGTAGACGGGTAGGGGACTATTTGTGCCAGCTAGATAATCTGTTGTAGGATGATCTCGCACGAAGAAAATGTTGAAATGAAAGGAAAGGAGAGCAGTGACTTGTTTCCTCTGGCAGGTTGCACACATCACATCACATATTTGTAGGGATAAAAATGTAAAGAAAAATTCTCCCCCCTCCCCCCCAACCTCACCAGGCCACCCTCTTCGGACGTTTTTATTGCATTTCTCTGGAAAGAGGAAGGAAGGTTGGTACGTATGCCGGCCAACCTCACGGTCCGGCTATTTCTGTATCCCTAGCCCACGATGTTAGCAATATCAAAATACACTCAATCATATAATATACCCACGTAAACGCCATAATAGTCGATCTTTGTCTCTTGGAGGAAAGGGGGGGGGGGAGGGTTGTGAGTTGGGGTTTTTTTAAACAAATTTCCTTTTTATTTAAATCGTTGCTTAACTGAATAGGACACTTTTTTAAGTTTTCTCATAGAACACAAACGTAAGATCTTCTTTGTCAATTTTCGGAGGGAGTAAGGTTTTGGTTTTGAGGACGTAAACCCGTTTCATACTGGAAATGGCAAGGTGGGGAGGGGTTTAACAGTTGATAAACGACGATGTGGAGACAGAAAATCGCCTATGTGATGAAAGAAATGAATGAAAATCGGCCAGTAGCTTTCTTTAATCACATTCGTCGAATAACATCATCCTCATCAGTGCTTTAATCCAAGCGAGGAAGAGAAATAGCGTTCAAAGACATTATTCTAGGGCACTTAACATATCACAAGAGGTTTTATTTCAGGTCGTTCAATGACGAGAGATTGGTGTGAGAATCGATGGCCACCCTGAAAGCATGAAAAATAGACACTAAGACTGGATGAAAAGAACACTCAAGAGAGTAAATGGCTCAATAAACAGTCCGTCTTACGGAAAAGGGCTACAAACCAGAGCAACTTCGCGAGCGCATTAGCTTAGCCCTGGCTCCACAAGACGATTTCCTCAACGATTTTCTCTATCCCCCGTTACTGCCTGGGTCTCGTTTTTCGGTTGGTGGCTTTGGTGTTTCGCTTTTACTGAACTGATGAAGGTGGGGTTTAAATAATATGAGGGGAGGACGTCATTCATTTGGATCCAACCCGATGTTTGAGATAGACATATCAAGAACCGGGACAGCGGATGAACCGGAAACCTCGTTCCTATCAGTCTCGCGTGATTTCCCTTGGGAAACTTCGACAAGAATCGTATGCAAATGAATTAGCTTCAGTCGTTGGCTCTCGATTTTTTCCTCTCTCTTAAGGAATACCTAGCCGTTTCTGGTACCAGCAGCTTTTGTAGACTACATTTATTTTGGCGATATCGGGATTTCCTCTCTGGGGACGCATTTGCAGTTTATTTCAAAGCACAGTTAATCATTGACAGTGAAACAAAAACATAGTGTGTTTGCGCCTAGCCTCTCTTTGCTTAACGCGTAGTTTCTTTAATGCATTCATTCATTCGTTTATCTATTCTTTTATTCCTTTACTTAAGTATTTATTCATTCAGCTCTTCTTCATTTTTGCATAATGCTGTTCTTCCATTCTCTCATCTTTTGGCATTGGTTTTTTTTTGTGGGGTTTTTTTGTGTTTTCTTTTTACTTGTTCATTAAACATTATAATATTATCAGTTTTTTTCTAGAAAAACTGTTTTTGAATGTTTCTATCCCACAAATAGAAGTCAAAATGAACTCCATCCCAACTTGCTTGTATGTGCGTATGTGCATGTGTGTGTGTGTATGTGTGTGTGTGTGTGTGTGTGTGTGTGTGTGTGTGTGTGTGTGTGTGTGTGTGTGTATGTGTGTCGGGGGGGGGGGGGTCAGAAGATGAAACTAGGCCACCCGAAGTAGGTCATACCAGCTAGGCCAATCTTCCTACCTTTGAAACATTGCCGTCGGGGAACTCCAAGTCCAAGAATAGGGCATGAATCTGTATCCTTTCGTTCGTTCTTAAACTACAGTTACCTCAAGTAGCAGACGTGTTCTTTCTTCCCAACTTCAAAACAGAATACTGTTTATTGTCCTTGTAATTGTTGTTATTACTGTTGTAACTTCTGCTGCTGCTGCTTTTGTTCTTGTGGCCGTTGTTGTTAAATGCCCTGCTTAACAAAACGCAACGAATGTTTCGAAGATCGGGCACTTATTATAATGGTCCCAAGATATGCAGCGGAGCCATTTCCAATTATTACAGGAATGTTGAAAAAAATAATTTGGTCGTAATACTGAATGGGAGCTCCAACTTCCACATGACTCACAAGTACGCAAAAAAATGACGTTTTGTCTTATTTCTGTAATGACAGCATGTTACTATTGTTACTTTTTGGGGTTGGTTTTATATGCATTTACAAGAGTATTTTTGACGAATTAATTAGAAGAATTTTTTAATTATTTTTTTGGAAACAAAGACAAAACGGGTCGAAACTTTACAAAATCGAATGGACACTCGTGATCATATTGGACTGCTCTGACCGACCCATGTTCAAATTCCTATTGGGAAAATTCTTTAACTTGTGGTTTTCGGGGGAGGGGGGAGATGGGTGTAGTTTTCGTTGATCGCCACGCGCGTGACCCCATTACTACAGGAGATTAGCCTCAAATCAGAGGTATCACGATTTGGACAACGTTTCTATATTAAAAAGGGTGTTCACCCCACAACATGCGACTACAAAGATGAAATAGTGACAGCCTGCAGATAGTACGCTATTTATACGACTATCAAGAAAAAGAGGCAGACATTCAAACGGAATACGCGATAATTCTCTGCACAAAAAATGAACCTCCCAACGCCATTTTGCTGTATGCTATCGGCACTGCTTATTTCGGACACTCCACTATCATTATGAGCCATTAAACACAGACCACCTTTTGCGCATGTCCGCTCCACGCCCGCCCCTGACGATGGACGAGTGCCGGGCACCCTAGGAGCTTTTTCCGCCGTCTGTTTACACAGGTCGTGTCTGTGGGATGTCCGTCCATCAGTCCTTGGACAGCGTTTAGGCGGGATACATGCTTGTCCGATTTTGTGGAATTATATATATGCATGATAATCTCGATTGGTGTTATATCTGCTTTTTTCTGAATATATTGTATGACTGTACAGAATTCTACTTATTTAGGGATGGTCT